CTAATATTTGCAAACATCTTTGCAGAGGTAAGGGTCACAGTAGCTGAGGATACTGAGGCCCTTTGAGAGGCCAGATAACTGGCTCAGGGTCCTGAGCCACTTAGTAACATCGCTGGAGCATAGGCTGGTTTGCTCCCAAGTCAGTGCTCTTTCCATTGAACGGCACTTCTCTAATTATGCTTGGGTGCTTTTTGTTTAGGATAATTGATTCTGCTTGTCACCAGTGGCCTTCCTCCCTTCCCCCCTGCAGCTGGGATAAATTTTGCTCATTAGAACTTTAGCTCAATTTGAAAGAAAGTCTGGTTAAGTAATAGTCTTTTAGTTGGGCTTTTGAAATAGTTTGAGGATTTTCAGTTTACATTTGTTCCTTGTGGCAAATTAAGCTAAAACTTTTAAGCTGATTTGCAGGTTTGTGTGTAAGGTGGGGCTTAGAGGTAAATGGGGAGGGGGATGTTTTATTTACCTTTCTGTTGTATGAGGCTGCCACCTAAATTATTGTTGTAATCTGTCATGAATTTGTTTAAGATGGTATTAACTATAGTCAAAGTTGTTGCTAAGGAAATTAGTTTCTTTCAATTATAATGTTCTGCTTTATTGGAAATGAGTTAACTAAACTTTTAAATAACTTTATAGGGTAGGTGGTGATTACCCTCTTTGTTGCTTCCGAGCCATTTCTAACTAATGTTCCTGACTAACAGTGTTCGGAGTATTTTATTATTTTTTAGTTTTTTTAATTAAAAAAAATTTTTTTTGAGACAGGGACTCTTTGGCTGAAGTTTAGTGGCACTGTCATAGTTCACTGCAGCCTCTAACTCCTGGCTCAAGCAATCCTCCTAGTTCAGCTTCCCAAGTAGTTGCTATACTACACAGGCACATGCCACCACACCCGGCTAAGTTTTCTATTTTTAGTAGAGACAGGGTCTCGCCCTTGCTCAGGCTGGTCTCGAACTCCTGAGCTCAAGTGATCCTCTTGCCTTGGCTTCCCAGAGTGCTAGGATTACAGGTGTGAACCACCTTGCCCAGCGGTTTTTCATTTTCTTTGAACCCCAGGGATCTTCTTAATCAGAAGCTGCTTTGGTTTTCCACCAGGTAGTTGTCTCAAAGGCTAGTCTTAAAAGGCTGGACCAATAAAATTAAATCTGCCTTTGGATTTGTGGTTTTAGTGAGATGGTATATGAAGTTCTATTTTATATTTAACCTCAACTGAGGTGACCTTGTAGTCTGTACTGACATAGTGTGTCTTATTAATCATCAATATGTGTTGGAAATGTGTCTTTTTTGGGGATGAAATGAGCATAATGCTGCTTAAATTGTTAATATATTGGCTTCCCTCCGAAAATGAGCTTTATGATTTAACTAGATCTTGTCTGATTCTCTCTTGTCTTTGCTTTTTTGAAGTCCATGCCTTCTATAGATTAAAATTAAGTGAGGCATGAATTTTCTACCCTTGCAGATTCCACCCTGATACAAATAGGACCATTGTCTGTTGATGCCATTGTGATTTTATGCAGAATGCTAGGCAGTCCTTTCCTCTGTTAGAGAATAATTTATATGTAATTATAAGTCTAATTATGTTTGGAAGCCCATGTTCTTTGTTGCTCAGTTTAGTTGACCTGCTCTTTGAGGCTCCATGACCCTTTACTTAGATGGTAGTCAAATATAGTTAGGTAAATAAGTTTCCTTGTGGCTTGTAGTAATGATTAGGGTATGGCTACATCTAGATAGTAATTTCCCTGTTAGTCGAGAATTTATTTAAGCACTAAACTTAAAAAAAGGGGGCAGGTGGGGTGGTTTATACCTATAATCCTAGCACTGTGGGAGGCTGAGGCAGAAAGATCTCTTGAGCAAGAGCCAGACCCTATCTCTACTGAAAAATAGAAAAATTAGCCAGGTGTGGCTTGTGCCTATAATCCTAGCTACTTGGGAGGCTGAGGCAGGAGGATTGCTTGAGGCCAGGAGTTTGAGGTTACAGAGTGAGCTATGACGACACCACTGTGAGACACTGTCTCAAAAAAAAATGAAAAAAATTTAATAAAAAAATAAAGTAAAATCTCTCTCTCTCTTTTTTTTTTTTTTTCATTAGGTCCTTTTCTCTCCCCTCACCCCCAACAGGGTCTTGCTGTGTTACCTGGGCTAGAATGCAGTGTGTCATCATAGTTCGTCGCAGCCTTGAATGCCTGGGCTCAGGCAATTAATCTTCTTGACTCAGCCTCCCAAGTAGCTGGGACTTGTAGGCCCAGGCCACCATGCCTGGCTAATTTTTTTTTTTGTAGAAGGGTCTAGATCTTGCTCAGACTGGCTTCCCTGGCCTCAAGCAATCTTCCTCCCTCCACCTCCCAAAGTGCTAGGATTATAGGTGTGAGCCACCTCACCTGGCCCCTTTTCTTTATTTCTTTTTTTTTTTATTAGCCCTGCCAAAACAAGGCCTCAAAAAAGTAGTTGAAAAACTCATTTTGACAAACCCAGAGCAGTATTACAAAAAAAAAAAAAAGAAAAAGAAAAAAGAAAAACTCAGAGCTGTTCCTTTCCACAGAAATCTTTAATAAAATGTGAAATATTTATGTGACCTGGAGAGAAACCAGAGTATGCATGAGGTCCTTTCTAAAATTTGCTACTTTTTTCCTTCTTAATAATAAAATAGTGTGTTTTGAATTTGTTTTATTAATGTCAGTTTATAATATCAGTTATGGTGTACTCTAATAATGTTTAACAGCTAACTTTGGTATGAAATTTAATAGTTTACAAGCCTTTCACCTACATTATTGGTTAATCTCCTAAGAATCATGTGATTACTGTTTTATCAATCATATGAAGTTGGTGGCCACCCCATTTTATATATTAAAAGGCTGAAACCTACACAAGAAACTTTCTCAAGGTTATTCAGCTAAGTGACAGAGTTGGAACCCAAACTCAGATTGCCAGTCAATGTTTTTTCCATCATACCTTAACAGCTGTGTGCTAGCTGGTTTGCCTTTATCCTAAATCAACAGTTCACAGCCAATGGGTCTTTTAGGTTTTTGTGTGTCTTTTTCAGTTATGAGGTGATATGTGTTATAAATGATTTATTACTAATTAAAATGCCACTGTGAATTATTTAAAGAATTTGTATTGGATATACAAATGTGAATTCCATGAGGACAGGGACTACGTCTCATTTGTGCACACCTCTCTCCCTAGTGTCTAGAATAGTGCCTGCTAATAGTAAGTGTTGAATAATTATTTATTGTGTGAATAAAGCAGTGAATTTAATTCACTCTCATTCTATTAATGCCTTCTTGAGTGGGGGAAAAAGGGAGTTTGGGTTAACCTACAGTCTTTATATCTGCCAATGCTTAATGTAAGTAAGTGCTATTAATATATAGATATACTGGTAATAATTGTGATGGCTTTTGGTTCTCATTTGAAATTGATCAGGGGATATCAAAAAACAGATTTGCTTATAGAAGTGTGTGGCTGTGTGTATGAATCTCAGCTGTCAATTGTGTAAAGGTATTTGAGATCAAAATAGTTGCAGATGTTTGTATTTCTCCTCTCTGGCTCTCCCTCTCTTTGCTAAGTGATTGGTGGCAGTTGTTTTTTACTATTGTCATGTCTGACTCACAGCTCCTTTTTCCATTTTAATTTTTTACTTCTGCTTTGGGCTAGAAAACTGGACACCCAAATTTAGAATAATTGTTTGACATAGATGAACTTGATTGAGCGAGGCCCCCATTGGTATTTTACCAAAGGGCATGGACTGTGTGTGAGATGGTTGTAAGACATTTGTTTGGGCTACTGAGAGGCCTTTTTCAGTTCTGATTCATGGTGAGGTATTGAAACAACTGGGTATCCAGATTGGAAAGTTGTTGGTATAGTATATACTATTTACAAAAACCTGAGCTGTTAAAATACTAGAGAACAAATTAGAGCTCATGATTTATTTCTGAGCACTGAGAAACTGAAATAAGCAAAAACACTTTATGTTGTACACATGTAAAAAGCATCTCAAGGTAAGGAATTCTGTTTGTTATTACTGACTACTGCCATTTAAAGGTGGGGGAGAACTCAAGATAAATCAGACTTGAGAGATTGGAAACTCAAAATGTGCCACCTAAAATTCAGTTTTAAAAAATAATTGTGATTTAGACTTACTAGAGATAATGTGCTTTTTCTCATATTTTGCAATTTAGTGTAACACGATGTACATAGAGTACTTTTTGGTAAAATTTTTTCTTTCTTTCTTTCTTTTTTTTTTTTGAGACAGAGTCTCGCTTTGTTGCCCAGGCTAGAGTGAGTGCTGTGGCATCAGCCTAGCTCACAGCAACCTCAAACTCCTGGGTTCAAGCAATCCTTCTGCCTCAGCCTCCCGAGTAGCTGGGACTACAGGCATGTGCCACCATGCCCGGCTAATTTTTTCTGTATATATTAGTTGGCCAATTAATTTCTTTCTATTTATAGTAGAGACAGGTCTCGCTCTTGCTCTGCTGGTTTTGAACTCCTGACCTCGAGCAATCCGCCCGCCTCAGCCTCCCAGAGTGCTAGGATTACAAGAGTGAGCCACCTCGCCTGGCCAAATTTTCCATGCAATTGCATTTACATCGTCAAGCCATGTAGTAAGGACATTTACGAATAAAATATTTAGCCAGAAGTTGTAGGCGGAAAGAAAAAACCCACAAGTTTGAAAATTAGGTTTGTGTGATTGGACAGTATATGATATCCAGTTCCTTTTATAAATTAATTAATTACGAGGTAGTCAACAGTTCTCTTACCAGGAAATAATTGAGACTGAAAAAGGAAAATTCTTCTGTCTCTTATAGATGTGTCTCTGCAAAGTATTCTTTATCCACTTCCCAGCCAATTGTGTCTTTTGTAGACTCTACAGTGTGCTGCATCAAGCCATGACATCATGCTTTTAGAAACTTTCCTACTTGTAAATTTTAGGTTTCCCTAAAACTTGAGCAATATGTCTTCATTTTCAGAAAAAAGGCCTACCCGAATTATTATTGTTTCTTATTTTCCAGGAGTTTCTTAACCACATAACCTCTCAGAATTGAACGAAAACAACATTGTTCCTGGAACGCCCTCTTTTTAAGGTACACTAAATTTTTGGCTTTATAATTTCAGGCTTGTTCATAATCAGAGACACTTTTGAATTGTTTAGTGACTTGTGTGGAAAATGATTTTTACTTTTGGCTGTAATATTAGAGAAACAGAAGAAATTGTATGCAGTTTGAATTTCTTTTTTACTCTTGATTTAATTTGAAAGAAAATGCAGGAGAAATTGTTGCCAATAATATAAAACCCTTTAGTTAGCATCACTATGTACTTTAAATGTAAAGACACGAAAACTACTGAAGTTGTCATTAAACATGTTCAATAAACATCATGGTCATAGAAACTTTTATGGTTTGCTTTCTTTCAAAAAAGCCTTTGATTTCTCAGATTGTTTATGTTAAATATGGTTTTCAAACTTATGGAACTAATTCAGCATTGTTTTTGTTATGAGATAAGGTTATGAATCAAGTTCCATTTACCACTGGTAGCTTGTGATCATCCAGATAGTTTTCTAAAGGTGTTCAGAATTTTGCAGTCCTTTCTTTGTTAGGCACTGCAGAATACACTACATGCGTTAGCACTGCTTTGTGTTTTTTAACAGGTTTCCTCTAACAGTGAAAGCATATTACCATACCATATGTCTAAAGTAATAATTTATTTTATTTATTTTAATTTTTTTTGAGACAGAATCTCGCTTTGTTGACCAGGCTAAGAGTGAGTGCCGTGGTGTCAGCCTAGCTCACGGCAACCTCAAACTCCTGGGCTCAAGAGATCCTGCTGTCTCAGCTTCCCAAGTAGCTGGGACTACAGGCATGCACCACCATGCCCCGCTAATTTTTTCTATATATATTAGTTCGCCAATTAATTTCTTTGTATTTATAGTAGAGACGGGGGTCTTGTTCTTGCTCAGGCTGGTTTCGAACTCCTGACCTCGAGCACTCTGCCCGCCTTGGCCTCCCAGAGTGCTAGGATTACAGGTGTGAGCCACCAAGCCCGGCCTGAAGTAATAATTGGTAGACAAGTTAACTTAATAATTTTGGAATGAGGAAACTGAAACATAAGGAAATTAGAGAAGTTGTACAAAGTTCAGTAATACACTTATTTGGATTTGTATAATGCTTTTTTCCCCCAAAGAGTTATATTATTATGCCTTAGGATTCCTTTAATGGTTTAACTGTGATTGCTACAGCTGAGGCTTGCTTAAATATCCTATTATGAAGTGCTTTGGGGAAACTGAGGCACAAGAGTGGATTGCCAAGAGTTGGACATATAATTATTACCTGATTTGAGAGTGGAATTGAAAGCCACAACTCAGAAATTTGATCTGATTTAACATTTTTGATTGTTACTTGGCAGCATGGATGGTTTCTTAGAAACTGAGTCTTGGCACTGGTCTCTTTTGCATGAAGATGATGGTAAAGGCAGTCGTGTTTCTAAGTAAATGGCACATGGTTACAGATTTCAGTTTCCCTTTTCTGAAAGGAAAAGCCCGTTAACCATTATGTTGAACCAAGCCCCTTCTAAGTTAAGAATATGTTACACATTTCAGTCCAGAAATAGTACGCAAAGAAAAAAATACAAAAATAAAAAAAATGAATAAAATTAAAAAAAAAAAGAATATGTTACACAGTCCTACTCTTTTTTTTTTTTTTTGAGACAGGGTCTCGCTTTGTTGCCCAGGCTAGAGTGAGTACCATGGCATCAGCCTAGCTAATAGCAACCTCAAACTCCTGGGCTCAAGCAGTCTTCCTGCCTCAGCCTCCGAGTAGCTGGGACTACAGGCATGCGCCACAATGCCTGGCTAATTTTTTCTATATATTTTTAGTCGGCTAATTAATTTCTTTCTATTTTTATAGTAGAGACAGGGTCTTGCTCTTGCTCAGGCTAGTTTTGAACCCTTGACCTCGAGCAATCCGCCTGCCTTGGCCTCCCACAGTGCTAGGGATTATAGGCGGTGAGCCACCGCACCCAGCCCATAGTCCTACTCTTAAAAGACTCTAGCAGATCATGAATATGTATTCATTATGATTGAGTTTTTTTGTTTTGTTTTGAGACAGAGTCTTGCTCTGTCACCCTTGGTAGAGTACAGTGGCATCATCATAGCTCACTGCAACCTCAAACTTCTGGACTCAAGTGATCCTCTTGCCTCAGCTTCCAGAGTAGCTGGGAATACAGTGAGGCACAATGCCCGGCTAATTTTTCTATTTTTAGTAGAGATGGGGTCTCGCTCTTGCTCAGACTGGTCTGAAACTCCAGAGCTCCAGCGATCTTCTCACCTTGGCCTCCCAGAGTGCTAGGATTACAGGCATGAGCCACTGTGCCCAGCCCCTCATTTTGGTTGGTTTAAAAACATTTTTATATATTTTTATAAGTTTAGATTAAAAAAAATGTTTTTATAAAAGTAGTATGTGTTTGAACTTATTTTTAAGAATTTCTCCTAGAGAAAGGGAGATAGGTTGATAAAGTTTTACAGCTAGAAAAGAAAATAACATTTGTTAGGCTGCAGAGGTAAATTTTTTTTCACTTTAGTGGGGTATGCTGGTTTTTCTAGGATGAACAATTAATAATGAGTTCTCTTTTAGAAAGTGTTTTTTAAATGGACCACCCAGTGGTTACTTTTGTGTAGAAAGAAAATTCTCTGTTGTCTATGGCATTACGCCAAGTGTGAGACAGGGCTACATTTAGTCACTAGTATTGGATGCAAAGATCTTGAACAGCTTGGATTGTTTCCAGGCATACTTTTGGTTAGTTTTACTGTCTTGCAAGTTAATGTGCCTCATCAGGGTTAATTCTCCTGTGTCTTTATCTTGAGCACAAAGTACATAGTGGTCTTTGAGGAGTATGGTCATATTTCCTTTATTTTTTATTTTATTTTTTAGAGACAGGGTCTTGCTCTGTTACCTAGGCTGGAGTGTAGTGGCACCATCAACACTGCAGCCTAGAACTCTTGGGTTCAAGAGATCCTCCTGCCTCTGCTTCACCCTTCATAGTAGGTAGGACTGTAGGCATGGGCACCACCAGGCCTGACTATTTTTTTCCCCCCAGACATGGGGTCTCTGTGTGTTGCTCAGGCTGGTCTGAAAATCCTGGACTCAAGTGATCCTCCCACCTTGGCCTCCCAAAATGCTGGGATTGCAGGTGTGACCTGTGCCCAGACATATTTTTTATTAAAGAAGCTTTTATTATTGTGTGATTTAGTCTAAATGGACCTGCTGTTGAACATTATTTGCTTGGTATTGACCTTAAAGCAGTTGCTTTGGAAATGATTGTGTTGGGTGATAGTGATTGATGTGCTTCTGTACTTGGGGCTGTCCTGCCCACAGGTGTTTGGATGTTTGGAGTCAATGGATTTCTGTTTTGGGGGGTTGTGAGGGGAAAACAATGGTGGGGTGTGAGTTTACTTACAGAAAACATACAACCACATTGCTACTAGAAAGATCTGTCAGGAAAGGATCTTGGATTTAAGGAATGATGTGGGTGTTTTAGGTAGTTCAAGGCTATTAAAAAGGACTACTTGGGCTAGGCGCGTTGGCTCATGCCTGTAATCCTAGCACTCTGGGAGGCCGAGGGTGGGGGCGGGGGGATTGCTCCAGGTCAGGAGTTCAAAACCAGCCTGAGCAAGAGCAAGACCCCGTCTCTATTAAAAATAGAAAGAAATTAATTGGCCAACTAAAAAAACATAGAAAAAATTAGCCGGGCATGGTGGCACATGCCTGTAGTCCAGCCACTTGGGAGGCTGAGGCAGTAGGATTGCTTGAGCCCAGGGGTTTGAGGTTGCTGTGAGCTAGGCTGACACCACGGCACTCACTCTAGCCTGGGCAACAAAGTGAGACTCTGTCTCAAAAAAAAAAGGACTACTTGGGAGGGTAAGGCAGGAGGATTGCTTGAGTGCAGGAGTTTGAGGTTGCTATGAGGTTTTTTTTTTTGTTTGTTTTTTTGTTTTTGAGACAGAGTCTCACTTCTGTTGCCTGTGCTAGAGTGCTGTGGCATCAGCTTAGCTCACAGCAACTTCAAACTCCTGGGCTCAAGCAATCCTTCTGCCTCAGCCTCCCAAGTAGCTGGGACTACAGGCATGTGCCACCATGCCCGGCTAATTTTTTCATATATATATTTTTAGTTGGCCAATTAATTTCTTTCTATTTATAGTAGAGACGATGTCTTGCTCTTGCTCAGGCTGGTTTCAAACTCCTGACCTTGAGCGATCCTTTTACCTGGGCCTCCCAGAGTACTAGGATTACAGGCGGGAGCCACCGTGCCCAGCCTGCTATGAGCTCTTATCGCAGAACTGTACTCCAGGCTGGGTGACAGAGTAAGAACCTGTCTCTTGAAAAAACAAAAGGACTTTGTTACAGGAAACATGGTTTATTCCTTAACTTTTTAAACTTTGTTATTGTTGACCAAATTTCTCTGGGAGTAGAGCCTCTCAAAAACTAGAGACCAAATTAATAAATTTGCAGTTGATTGCTTAAATATCTTGTCTTGTTTCTTTGAGGAAGAGTTTAACATATAGACTGTTTCCAGAATTTGACTTAAATCTACCATTAAATGGTAGATTTACCATTTATGGATTTACATGTAGTAGATACTTAGTAGATCTTAGTAGATACTTAGTAGACACATTTTTGTTGAATATTGAATGAATATATTCTAAAATTGGTATTGGTATTACTATTGCTTTATCATGGCAGGGAACTTGAGTATTTCTTTGTATCTGTGTATCCATGTTACATCAGATTTACTGAAGGACTTGCGAGGGGAGATAGTGAAAGTTTATGGCTGTCTTAAAAGGAAGCTTGTCCAGAATTGGGATGACTTCTTTCTTTTAATTTCTGTTTTTCCAAACACATATTATTTGGAAATATCACTTATTACAAAGGAGAATGATGTGTTGATTACACAAAAGTTTAGGTCATGTGTCAATCCACTTAAAAAATTGGTTATTAAAAGTGTTTCTATAACCGCTTAAGTAGTTATTTGATACTACTTAGTGGAAAGTGAGTAAGACTAAGCACTATTGTAGAGATTTTTGTAAACCATTTCTAGAAGGATCTGCCTTCTTGTATATTAAAGAAATTACTTAGACTCTGTGCTCAGTATAGTATAGTTTTGGTAGGTTTGCAGATGAGTAAGGAATATACACATTGTGCCTGACCACTTGTTAGCACTTCATGTATAATTTTTAAAAAAATGCTTTTGTAGAGTTCATGTGCCTAGATTCCTCATCCCCACAACCCATAAAAAGTACTTGACACTTGTAAAATGGTAGCTGCCAGTCAAGGTGAGATTCTTTTTCTTTTTTGAGATGGGGTCTTCCTTTATCACCCAGGCTGGTCTTGAATTCCTGGGCTCAAGCTATCTTTCCACCTCAGCCTCCCAAATAGCTGAGATTATGGCCACGAGCCACTACACCTGGTGACTATTTTTATGAAAACATTTTTGTGTTACCTTGCCAGTATTAGGACCTGGGGTGACTTGGAATTAAGGAAACTTTTTTTTTGAATTAAGGAAACTTTTAAAAGAAATGCCTATAACACCATCATTTTACCCCTCTTAGTGTTATAATGCCTATATATGCTCCATAAATTTAGGGCTTTAGAGTAAGATGAGTATGCTTTCTTGAGGTGATGTGTAACGCCCTCCAAGTAGGGAAAAAACCAGATTAAAGGCCTTATTTGTGTGGGAGGCAGGAAGTAAGGAGCCAGGGAAATGACAGCACAACCAGGCTTCATAGGCAAAGGGGTTTCCAGTGCCAGCAAGATCTAAAAAATATTTGTTTCAAACTCTTCAACTTAATTTTGCTGTGTATAAAATATTTTTTGTCTTTAAGAAGACTCTAATGAAGCATTTTTTGACCTCCTGAATTCTTAGTTTGCCTGGTGGAAAACAAGGACAAGTTTAAAGGAAAGGACTTAAGTTTGCATTTAGGATTTGATCTTTAGGACAGTACTGTTGAGCAACAGGTTCAAAATTAATACAGAAGTAGTTTTTCCAAAATTCCATTATTCCCCTGAAGGCTGCTGTGAACTATATAAGTATCAGTAGTGAAAAGTTTTGTTTTGAATTATGTGGGTAAACAGTGTATATATCCCCCCCCCCCCACACACATACCGTTTACAACAGGCATGTGCCACCATGCCCAGCTAATTTTTTTCTATTCTTAGTTGTTTGGCTAATTTCTTTCTACTTATAGTAGAGACAGGGTCTCACTCTAGCTCAGGCTGGTCTTGAACTCCTGAGCTCAAGCAGTCCTCCCGCCTTGGCCTCCCAGAGTGCTAGGATTACAGGCGTGAGCCACCACACCCGGCCTAACTTCTATTTTTTGTAGAGATGGGGTCCCATCAATTTTTTTTAGAGCCTTTTGAGATAGAAAGGGGATTTTCTTTTCCTGTTTAAGCATATAAACTGCTGGGGTAAAAACAAACAAACAAAAAGAACATAAGCTACTTACTACATTAGTAAGATTTTATTTGGTGGATTAATATATGTATACTTGAAACAATGTTCCTGGTCTCTCTACCCATTAGATACCAGTAGGTTTCCCCCACACCCCAGCCCACTAGTTGTGGCAACCAAAAAACCTTTCCAGACCTTGGCATATGTCCCTTGGGGAAACAGAATTGCCCCTTGTTGAGAACCACTGCTTTAGATGCTTTGTTCAGGCTTAAAGAAGAGACATTAAAGTGTTAAATTAGCAAGTAACTAAAAATTTATGAGCAAATTCATACTGTTTTTCAAATTTTAATATGACATGTTGGAAATTTAAAGTTTATGAAGTACACAGTCTTATTTTGGAGAGTTTAAACATTTTTTTATTTGTAGTTTTGAACTGCTTTTTTCAACCAATTGTTAGAAAGACACAACTCCTTCAGGTGAACTTGAGGTTAACATGTTTGGGGGCAGTTCCTTTCTCAGTCTCTAGAAAACCTATGTATTTATGACTGTGACTGGAATTGCTGGCAGTGGGCCTGCTTTAGACAGCATTAACTAAAAAATATCCCTTTGAACCTCACCCTTTCTAAATTTAGGCGTTCATTCAGAGTCTCAGATTCTCAGAGCTGCCTAGGGGAGTTGGGGGTGTTTCTGGGATGGGGCTAGACTCCAGAACAGATGCTTTGCTTTTGGCTTATTTTTTTGCCTTGTGACCTATGGTTGATGTGAAGTTGTAAGTACACTATAAGTGATTTTTTGTTGTTGTAAAAAATACTCTCAAGATAGTTTTTTGAAAAAGCAGGGAAGGGAAAAGGAGTAAGTAAGCAAGGGGGAGAGAGAGAAGTATTTCTATTTTGGCAGCTGAAGGGAAAAAATAAAAAACCAGTGAAACAAGGTCATAGCTGACTTCTAAACTTGTGGTCTTGTTTCTTGACAGTGGCAAATTGTCTGCTAAGATCATTATTTAGATCTTCTATGGACCTCTTTTGTTATTTTGTTCTGATTCTGAAAGTAAATGCAGAACAACTGCATTCTTGGGGCAATTCGTTGAATAAGGTAATGCTTATGCCTCTGTTATCCAAAGTCATATTTCAGCTGAGTTTCTTGTGAGTTTTGCAGTCCTTTTTGTTTGCAGCAAGAGCGGATGTGCTGGGATTTTGCAAGTATCTTAATTGCTCTAGTCATTCCTCTCTTTCTAGAGGTCCAGCTTTAAAAATCATTTTGAGACTTTTTAAAAAATTAAAGCAACAAACAGTTCGTCTGCAAGAGAACTATTAATTAGTTGGTTTGCTGGTTTCTGCTTTGGTTGGCTATTTCCTGACCTGTCATTTCTGTTCTTTGTTATTGCTGGTTATTTTTAAGTACTTTTGACTCGTTTAAAACATTTTCAGCTTTTTCAAGGTTGGTCATGAAAATGAACATAACTTTCCTTATTTTTGACTTGTAAAGAGATTTAAGTGTATTTAGGAATAATCCCTTTGCTATCCTCTTAACTTAAAGGAGGAAATAAACAGTCTCCTGTGCTCCCCACCCCCAGCCACACCAGTAAAATTTCCAGTCTAATCTATTCCTCTCTCCTTCATCTTCTCCACTCTTTCAATAGTAAAAATACTATTGAATGGTCTTTGTTATTCAGATCACTTCTCAGGATCTGGGGGCCTTGATGTGGGTGTAACAAGTTTTCTTGTTTGGGATTTGTAATTAAATCAGAACATCTGAAACCTCTTAGGAAAACAAATACATCTCTTATAGTCATAGGGAAAAAGAAACAGCAGAAGTAAGAACCTTCTTCTTTCCTTCAGTCAACTTAAAAGCCCTAAAGCTGTCAGTCTTAAAGCCTTGGCCTCTAAGTGGGAGCAGTGTCACATTCACCTGTTAATGGTGTTAAGAACCTAGTTTGCTTTTAATTTCTCATAATTTTGAGATCAGGAGCCATTATCATATCTCATATACCATGAAAACCTTTCTAAACTTTTAAATTTGCATTGTTTTTTTTTTTTTTTGAGACAGAGTCTCACTGTGTTGCCCAGGCTAGAGTGCCGTGGCGTCAGCCTCGCTCACAGCAACCTCAAATTCCTGGGCTCAAGCGTCCTCCTGCCTCAGCCTCCCAAGTAGCTGGGACTACAGGCACGCGCCACCATGCCCGGCTAATTTTTTCTATATATATTAGTTGGCCAATTAATTTCTTTCTATTTATAGTAGAGACGGGGTCTTGCTCTTGCTCAGGCTGGTTTTGAACTCCTGACCTCGAGCAATCCGCCCGCCTCGGCCTCCCAGAGAGCTAGGATTACAGGCGTGAGCCACCGCGCCCGGCCTATAATTCTTAATATTCAACAATAAATACTGTTATGCCATACTGATGCTCTGTAAAATGAACATGCAGAACATATAGGTATTGTATTAATAAGATCATTTTAAAAACACTGGGGGAAAGTCACAAGGCCAGGAAACTTACTATATACCAAAGAGAAACATTTCTAATAAATCAGCATAGCTATATGCTGAACTGGGCTATTTTCATAACTGAGTAGGTGACACCAGTTTTGACTGAACACTGGCAATTACATATCTCCTCTATAATTTACCTTTTTTATTTTCTTTCCCTTACAACTTTTAGGTAGAACTTTAGACTTCATAGCACTGAATTAACCTGCACTGAAAGCTGTTTACCTGCAGTTATTCACTTTTGTTGAAAGTGACCATGTCTCAAGTTCAAGTGCAAGTTCAGAACCCATCTGCTGCTCTCTCAGGGAGCCAAATACTGAACAAGAACCAGTCTCTTCTCTCACAGCCTTTGATGAGTATTCCTTCTACTACTAGCTCTCTGCCCTCTGAACATGCAGGTAGACCTATTCAAAACTCTGCTTTACCCTCTGCATCTATTACATCCACCAGTGCAGCTGCAGGTAAGCATGCAAATCCAAGTGTCTTCTGTTTCAAATGTTTTCTTAGCCTGTTTTCTGATCTGATAAGTAGGTTGCAGTTGTAGGGAGCTCTCACATTTATCTTCAAGAAGCAGAAGAAAGTACTACCATCCACACTTCTTTATCTCAGATGTAGAACACTGGTTATGTATGGGATTGACAGAGGCCTCAGTTGACAGACCATTTTAAGCTGTAAGAAAGAATTAAAAACTATTCAAACTGTAAAGCCTGGTCTATTGTAGAGTGGTGGCTGGCAGAAAGAATTGAACCATAAATATCACTTTGGTGAATATTCATTGTTGTATGGGAAAATTCTGCATTTAAAATTATTTCCCAGAACTGACAAAAGAGCTCTTGTATGTGCATAAGCCCCCTTTTTGTATGTCTGTAAGATTTTATCCCAAGCAGGGGAACAGCCAGATTTACTAGAAAGCAAAAGAGTGTATTGGCATTTATTAATTTTTATTTTGAACAAGTAATTTTAAGTCTGGGAGTTCCAGAGGTAGCTTAGAAATCATAGCGAGGACCAATTAGAAATTGAATAAAGAAGCAGAGATTTTTAAAAAGGAGATATGTTTAGAAGCATTCAAATTGGATTATTAAGAAAATGAAAACGAACTAAAGGTACTCACTGTTAGAAAAGACTTGAAACACTTGGAGGAACAAAACCTAAAAACAATCTTCTGCTTCCCATCCCCCTTCCCCCACTAAAGTGTCAAGACCAAATAAATAAGTGGGGTGCAGTATGGGTGTCTCCATACCAACATCAGCTTATAACAAAATCTTTTCAACTCCTTACTTAGGCCTGGCAATTTCCCTTACATTTCCTTCTTTGCCCTCTCATTTCCTTTGCTTAGTAAATCTCTTCTTGCAGTGTTTGCCTCTCCCATTCTCATCTGTGTAGCATCTTCCATGCTACTTCTGGAATTGCTTGCACTGGTTCACCAGGTAGCATTCTAGAGATCCACTTTCTCCCAAATTTGCCATGTGAAACTGTCTTAAAAGGATAAGACACAGGCTATTTAAGGGATTTATTGATTTTCTTTTAATATGTTCTTATATCCAAATCCTATTGACTATGTAAAACTCCCTTCCACTAAGGCTACTTTATTTTACTTATAGAACTGTCAGAAATAGTTAAAGTGTGAAGATGGCAGCCTCTGGAGAAAAGAATAGGGGATGCCCCACTATTGAGAAATTTGCTCTGTGGAGAATGACATTGTTTGAGAGATGGTATTGGCCTGTTGAATTTGGTAAAATAATGAACAGAGCACAGCTGGCAACTGTACTCTTTTGGGAACCAGCTTCTCTCAGCTTAGAAGACCTCCTTGTTATTCCCTTAGTTAGTTTTGATAGCAGTACTTTGTCTGAGTTCAGTTGTTGCTTGCCTGTTGTGGTGTAGTTATCCCCCTCACTTCTGTTCTTTCTCTCTCTCCTTTTTTATGAGACAGTCTCACTCTGTTGCCTGGGCTAGAGTGTCGTGGCATCAGCCTAGCTCACAGCAACCTCAAACTCCTGGGTTCAAGCAATCCTTCTGCCTCAGCCTCCTGAGTACCTGGGACTACAGGCATGTGCCACCATGCCTGGCTAATTTTTTCTATATATATTTTTAGTTGGCCAATTAATTTTTTCCTATATATAGTCGAGACTGGGGTCTCTTGCTCAGGCTGGTTTCAAACTCCTGACCTTGAGCAATCTGCCTGCCTCAGCCTCCCAGAATGCTAGGATTACAGGTGTGAGCCACTGCGCCCAGCCCAGGCTAATTTTTTAATATATATATTTTTAGTTGGCCAATTAATTTCTTTCTATTTTTATTTTATTTTATTTTAATTAATTAATTAATTAATTTTGAGACAGAGTCTTGCTTTGTTGACCAGGCTAGAGTGAGTGCCGTGGCGTCAGCCTAGCTCATAGCAACCTCAAACTCCTGGGCTCAAGCAATCCTGCTGTCTCAGCCTCCGGAGTAGCTGGGACTACAGGCATGCACCACCACCATGCCCGGCTAAGTTTTCCTATATATATATTAGTTGGCCAGTTAATTTCTTTGTATTTATAGTAGAGACGGGGGTCTTGCTCTTGCTCAGGCTGGTTTCGAACTCCTGACCTGGAGCAGTCCGCCTGCCTCAGCCTCCCACAGTGCTAGGATTATAGGCATGAGCCACCACACCTGCCCATAGTTTCTTTCTATTTTTAGTAGAGACAGTGTCTCGCTCTTGATCACTTGGTCAAGTTTGGAACTCCTGACCTTGAGTAATTCTCGTACCTAGGCCTCCCAGAGTGCTAGGATTACAGGCGTGAGCCACCATGCCTGGCTTGTTTTTCGGAGACAGAGTCTTGCTCTGTTCCTGGGGCTAGAATGCCGTGGTGTCAGCCTAGCTCACAGCAACCTCAAATTCCTGGGCTCAAGCAATCCTTTTGCCTCAGCCTCCCGAGTAGCTGGGACCACAGGCATGTGCCACTATGCCCAGCTAATTTTTTCTCTATATATATTATTAGTTCGTTAATTTCTATTTTTTTTTTTTTTTTTTAGATTTTTTAGAGACGGGGTCTGACTGTGCTCAGGCAGTGTTCAGGCTGGTGTCGAACCCCTGAAGCAGCAGCTATCCACCCGTCTCGGCCTCCCAGAAAGCTAGGATGACAGGCGTGAGCCACCGCGCCCGGCCTAATTTCTATTTTTTAAGTAGAGATGGGATCTCGCTCTTGCTAAGGCTGGTTTCGACCTCCTGACCTTGAGCAATCACCCGCCTCGGCCTCCCAGAGTGCTAGGATTACACCGTGCCTGGCCAGTTCTCTCTCCTTTGAAGACATACCCTCTCCTAGGTTACCTGGCCTCAACTGGTTCAGAAAAGACCTCAGTTGTATCTTCTTTAGATGTGTGGTTTGCAGTTTTGCATTACTGCTGTCTAAATCTTTTAGTTGGTTTTTCCTCTATTTTCATATCCCTGGGAGAATAGCAGTCTTATATACTGCTGGTTGACTTCAGTGGTCTTATGTTATTTTTCAGTTTCTTCTAACATGGCAGACCCCAAAGAGAAAACCTCACTGTGTCTTGTGAATGAGTTAGGCCATTTCAACAAGATTCAGCCTCAGTGTAAGTTTTTGTGTGAGTGAGATCCAGCTCATCATAAGGTAAATATTGTCCATACTGCTTGTGCATTTATAACCCACCAGGAATGTTTTGTATCATTTTATACTCTTGAAAATGGTGTTGTGATTCAAAGAATGTATTTTCAAACTACTGAGGTCATCCGAAAGAGTCGCAAAAGTATAGATTTTTGAAGAGTTGCTGCTTTTTTCATCTTTGCAGAATAGGTCAAAGAAAAGATATGGTTCTGTTTGGAATATTTGGCTTCTAAAATTTATAACTGTATGGTTGTTTGGGATTCTGGATAGAGACAGTTCTCCAGCCCCTTGATTGATTTCCCATGAATATTCCAGGGTCTGGGTCTCCTGCTGTCTGTAACCTACCTCTGGCTCCTTTCCTGCTTGTTTGCACATGGACCTTAGACTGGGTAGGAAGAGGAGGTGATGGGAAATCAGTTTTGTCCTTTGTTAGTAATCTAGGCAAAAGGTATGAAGATGCCAGGTAGAAATTAGTTTCAAAGTGGGTATTTTGCATTGTCTGTGATTTAATTTATCCTTAGTGTTCCTCTTAGAGAATGAAGGACTGACTATAACTTGACATTTTGCTGATTGTTATTCAAGAATTTAGTCTTTGAAGCTTGTTTGGTATCTGTAATAATGTACATCTTGGGACTTAATTCTTGCTTACCTAGTGTTATCTTTTGCAGCTGAAGTATAAGGGGATACAGAATGAGTAATAAGGACTTGGGCCTCCTGTTTAGAATCCTAGTCTTGCAGCAGCAATAATAGTATTAAGAATGAGTTATTTATCTCACTATGCCTCATTTTTCTTCACATGCAAACTTTAAGCCTTAGTGAATCAAGTTTCTCTTCATTTGACTAAAAATAACCTTAAGCACAGTCACGAATAGGGACCATAGCACAGCATGGTTAGGTGAGTGGTCTTTGGAGTCAGACAGGTCTGGGTTTGAATCTCAGCTTCTTACTTGCTTTGTGTAAGTAGTAACTTACAAGTTACTACTTTTTTTGAACCTCAGCATCCTCATCTGTAAAATGGAGACGAGCTGAATAAGTTCATTGTGAGAATTAAACGAAAGACTATATGGTTAAGTGTGGAGTGAGATGCCTGGCACTTAGTAAATGCTTAAGAAGTGCCAGCTGTTATTAAGCCATTATGCATTTAAAAAAAACAAATTTCGCACGCACATGAAACTAGTTTAAAAGTGTTAAAGCATAATTACATTTGAAAAGTTTTCTTTTTTTTTGGTTTTTTTTTGGGGGGGGGGAGACAGTCTCGCTCTGTTGCTGTGGCGTCAGCCTAGCTCACAGCAACCTCAAACTCATGGGCTCAAGCGATCCTCCTACCTCACCCTCCCGAGTAGCTGGGACTACAGGCATGCACCACCATGCCCGGCTAATTTTTTCTATATATTTTTAGTTGTCCAATTAATTTCTTTCTATTTTTAGTAGAGACAGGGTTTCGCTCTTGCTCAGGCTGGTTTCGAACTCCTGACCTTAAGCGATCCATTCGCCTCAGCCTCCCAGAGAGCTAGGATTTTTTTTTTGCAGACCTTAACTTTGGGATTCCCTTTATTAACTGTTTTTATTACATTTTGGCATATGTACTGTCACTTGAACTTTTAGTACTTTAGGTGGTTTGGCTGTGTGTTCATCTATAATCACATTTTCTTCCCCCCACAAGTTGATCAAGAACAGAATTTGTTCCCTCCTGGGTGACTTTTTAAAAATTAGAGGTGTGGTATACTTTTATTTCTATCAAAACCAAGATTCTGACTTTGCTACCAACAGAATGCATCAGAGTGGCAAACAGTGTCAGATGGGAAAAGCCCTGGAAAAAGGCAAGACCGTAGATAAGAGTGACTCTGTTTTGCTTTTTT